CCCCTGTCCCTATGGACAGCCCCTGTGGAAGTCGCACACTTCCTGGGCCACCCCTTAGCTGAAATTGACGACAACGATGATGGATGAACCGTCCGGAACGGGGCTTAGTAGCCGCTNCTTCCTGGGCCACCCCTTAGCTGAAATTGACGACAACGATGATGGATGAACCGTCCGGAACGGGGCTTAGTAGCCGCTACAACAACAACAACAACAATCAGCCAAAGGTAGACAGTTTTGTCATTCGTTTATTAGGGCGTAACGATTTACAGATGCATACCGGTGCACGTAAAAGACCATCTAAGTGTCGAGGGTACTAATAGACATAGATTGTTTTGCAGTATCACCAACGATGTATTGGAGCGTAGTTATTCCGGAGTAATTGCAGTCAATCTATAGGGAAAATTTGTAATTTTTCAAATTATGACTAAAGATTTCGAAAATACGAAATATGTAACAACTCGTATAAAGTTAAACGAAAAAAATTCACTTTGTATTGCTGAAAAACAGCACAAAACGAAAAGTGTCGTTATTTCACATAAAAGAATGACTAACCTAATAGAGTCTGCCAGATAGCTAACAACTAAGCCTATGTCGATTTGCCACAGAAAAATATGGTTATTTATAAACCTAATCTGCTATAAACTCAAAAACATGAAATTTTGAGTAGTGCCGTTATTGTAGAAGACCATCGATATGTACTTGTATGTAATTTTGTATGAAATCTCAAAAAGTATTTTAATCATTAGTGAAAGAATTAAACCTTTTTTTATATGTGTTTTACTTAGTTGACGTTATGCTGGCATTATTATATTAGATCTTATATTTTTTAGATCCATATTGCATAATGAGTTGGATTTAATAAAAGCTACAAACGAACAGAGGTAAATTCGTACTTTTTCAATCTAGAACGTTCACATAAGGTTTATTAAAGGCAAAAACACCTGTTCCTGTAAAACCAGGAAATCCTGGAGTACGGGAACAGGCTAATACGGCCTTCGTACGTAGTTCGCTCTCTCATTCGTAATTCGCACTCCAATTACCCTTCGAATTACGTAATTCGTCATACAAAATTTTGAGACCGAATTGCCTCAGTTGGTAATTCAGATCCAATTAATTTATAATTTAATACGGAAACTTATGAATTTTTAGGAAGAACCGATATTTTGCCGCGGCGAAAAAAAAAAAACACAGACAGAGAACTGTCAAATCGAATTAAGAATGTGGCCGTGGGAATGGGGTGATTCGCGATCGTAATTGGGGGAGCGAACAAAGTAATTCAGGATGTTGTGGAAAAATGGTATAATGGTGTACGGTTGGCCACCTTGGTCATCTGATGGTTGCCAGTTGGAATTCATTTTAATAGCAAAGTGGCAACTTTTTCGTATCCGGTTCAATTTAACAAGTATACTGCAGTTCAATTTCGGCTAATAGAGGTTATATTAGGGGTCTTCTTCTAAAGTGATAAAGGGATAATTTGCTTAAATTTATCAGTTTATCCGCATTCTTTCATGAACGCACCATGGAAAATAATTGCATAAAACTTCAAGTTCAAGTAGCTTGTGGAACAACCCTAATATGCCGGAACTAGAGCGAGAAGCTGCCAACATCTACCCGACGAAATGAGAGAATGAATTTACCTAGTAATGTTTTTATCATGGATTATATTAACACCAGTATTTACGCAAAGCGGACAAGGATTCTATAATTGTATCTTATTTTAGAATAATAACGGGTAACCGGTTATTTCGGAATTTAGTTGTACCAAAATTGCAAATACTACATCAATAGAGGAAATACATATGTTTTCCTCCAATAAACAACTATCGCATTTGCTTAAAATCGTTTAAAATGCAAATTAGCGAAAAATGTCGTTCTTAACTAGGGAAAACGTTACGCAGCATTGTCGTACTTGTTTGAAGAGCTTAAACATAGATAATAACAATTTAATAACAAGTTTCGCTGCAGCTGAGGAGGCACCCGAGTTCAAAGACTTTTCGATAAGCATCGGTAATAATGAAGATATACAAAAACTTATCACTCTATACATGGACGGTGTTTTGACTGGAGAAGCAGCTGAAAGTATGCTGGAAGATTACCCCCAGTGTGTGTGCATCTGCTGCTATAATAAATTACAAAACATTCATACATTTGGTCAAAAAATAAAGAGAAGTGCTCAAAAACTGCAGGCGCTTTTGTGGCAGGGAGTTGCGAAAGTTGAGATTGGTGAAGATGAAAATGAAAACCAACAGAAATACGAAAATGAAGTTAGTTCTATGCAGGATGAACGGGATATATATAAATTGCTGGTAAGTGTACATATATTTGAAGAAAATTTGGATTAACCACTTTTATATTTGTTTAGCTTAAGGATGCTCTAATGGAAACGGAAACCGTTATTTTAGAAACACAAAATGCTGAAAGTATAGATAGCAAAGGTGTTGTAGATCCTGATCCCTTTGACACCTCAATGTCGGTAAAACTGAAGGATATGCAACGTGATTCGCAGCGTGAGGCAATGCATGAAGAAAGCAACGATCAAGAATGGGAAACCTATAGTCAAGTAGAATCG